GTCCAGGGGTATACATCCTTTGAAGATTTTGTAAAAGATCGTCTCAAAAGTATGCATTTCTCAGCTATTTGAAGAGCATTTAACCAAATTCTGGGGCCCTGTTGTAACCAAAACCCCTCAACTAATTTATTTTAGTTTTTTGTTCAGTGAACATACCTGCGAGTGTGTTCATAGCTCATAGCTAACGGAGCTGTCTCAGTGTCTTCCTCTTCCTCATCCTCCTCATACACTCCTGTTGTTACCGGAGAAGGGGACTCTGGCGCCTCATCATGYGACTTCTCCGTCAGGCTGCCTTCTTCCTCCTCCTCATCGTCCCCTTCCACTTCCTCTTCCTCTTCCTCCAGTCCCTGGAGCCCTAGCTTGGAGTTGGACAAACTGTGGCTGGGAGGGCGCTCCTCCTCGTGCTGGTCTGACCTGTAGAGGTCAGAGAAGGAAGGATATGTAGCTTTGAGTGACATTTATATACTTAAAAGAGCTTTCAGACTGTGTATGGGTTGCTACAGTAAAGCAGTGCTTTATTGTAGAGAGGAAAAGAAGTTATGGTAGTGTCTAAAAAAATATTGTCTGATGAAGTAAATAGACACGAGAGTAAAGAACCAAGCCTAAAAGAATGGGCATGGGAAAAGAACTAAATAGTCTGTCATATGATCAAACTTCAGCAGAGAAACAAAAGGTGCTAAACTTTTGTTTCATGTCAATTTATAGTCTTTTTTTTGTGTGTGTTTTTGAACAGTTTCTTTATCCTGAGCTCATAAACCACTTTAGCACTGAACGAATTTATTAGTCAAATACTGATTTAAAACACCACACCATTTGTCTTAGTCTTTTTAAGGCTTGACTTTTATAATCTATGGTTTGACTATTGTAATGTCCTGATTAAATTAGTTTTAGGTACATGCCCCAAACACCTTGACAACACATAATAAACCATTTATAAAAACATTAGATAAGAATTGCTGTTTAGAGTGTCGGCCTGTAGGGGGGGTACCAGGCACTGAAGATCCCTGTATATTATAGACCGGAACTTCCAGTTTCAGGCAGCATTGCTCTGGTTGCTTCAGCGTAAGCAATAAAGGCTCGCTTGTAAACCAGATCTGGGTTGTATGGTCCTTTCCTCTTCACATTTTAATCTATTCAACRTTTATGTGGTTTTGTCTCGATTCCAGTTTAACGAACACTAAATTTTCTTACAGCACGATTGAAGTGTTGAGTACGTTTTATTATTACTAACAGTAAACAAATTTTGACCTCACTTTCTCATAGCTTGAAYACTCTGTCTAGCCTGGAGGCTGTTCTCATATTCTTACTAAAGACGTGACTCATCTCCCTGAAAGAGAAACACAAATAATCTGATGACAACATGCACAGTACAACACCAGTGTCCACAGAAACAACATGGGTGCAGAAAGTCGGCTTCAAGCACTTTTCAAACAACCCGCACGTGATTAATTGGCTGGCACCTCACAAACAGAGCAGGAGATGTTCTGCCTCAGACCTGATCCTCCACGTACCACCTTACTCCGTAATGGTGGACCGTAGCTTCTGCGACTGAGCGAAGATGTCGGCTCGGCTGCAAACAGGCTATCAGCACTCCACCATTACGACCTGCCATTTGTACATTTTCCAGCCTGCGCCTCAACAAAGCCCCCTTCCTCCATCACCCCCTGACCACAATGTCATGGCTCATGATATCATTTCCTTTGGGATGGCAAATTTACCCTTTCCATTTTTTTTTTACCACACTGCGGACATTTATCAAATCAGACAGGATTACCTCTGGGAAGGGGTGCAGAGGGACAGGATTGGGTCACACAGAGTGGGTGGGTGCGAGTGGGTAGAGGGGCTGTAGGGGGTTAGGAAAGTTCTTCTCTTTCAATCTAGATTAAATATCACCATAATCAAATTGCAGAAAGGTTTGGCGGGGGGAAAAGTCCATGCTTACGAACAGGGAAAGAAGCGTAGCTCTGACACAAGGGGGGCCCTGGGTTTTGTCATTTAGTCTAAACACGTCAGTTGGGTGTTTGTGTTAGTGGGCTGGGGGTATGGGTACAGCGGGCAGATTGGGGGAAGAGCTCAATCATCAGTGGATCTCCTAGATAAATGCTTCAACCGAATCCCCCCTCGGGGTTTTTGGAGTTATTGGAGCTCATGAAGTCCCAGACTAGAAACCAAGAACTGAAGTCCCAGCATGAGGATCATGGTATTGAGAAGACAGATACTTCCTATTCTTTAAATAACCCAATGCTGGAAATACCTCTTTACATCTATACTTTGTTATTGTTTGAACTTCTGCGGCAACAGCATCTCCTACCTGGACCCACGTCAAAGTTTTATTGAGAAAACAAAAGATTTCGGGAACTTTTGTTTTGACTGGCTGCGAAGCTCAAAATGGAGTTTTGAGGGAAGGGAAACTATGGTTGCGTAGGTGGTTAAAAATGATTACAAATAGTCATCCATGAATGTGTGTTTGTGTTCAGAGTTTGACTTCAGTCACTCAGAGGGAGAATAAACAGCAGGCTGTCTGGTAGGAGGACAGAAAGCATAACACTTAGTCTGAATTACAGATATTAAAATGTCAGGCAAGCTTGTTGTAGATGAGACTCTGTATTGATCCCAGATGGCAGAGGGGCTAAATTGCCACTGGGTCTGCTGGCCATAATGTGTGTTGACAAGAGGGAGGAAGGAGTGGGGGGGATGGAGGAAGAGGCAGACAGAAAGTGAGACTAGCAGAAAGGAATTCACAGCAAGAACGAGAGATAGAGCGTCTAGTCGAGAAAAAAAATGGTTAAACCACTGACTGTCAGAGAAAAAAACACTTTATCCCCTCTATTTTCTTATTGTTTAAATCTTACCACAAATCACGTCACTAACAGTAAAACAAATCACGTCACTAACGGTAAAGTTGTTTCAAATTTAAATGCAGGGAAACTCAGCGTTTTATCCACGGACTTGACCTTGCCCAGGGCATTTGTGGGTGGAAGTAGGCTTTAAGAAGTGTAGATGATGTTTATGCAGATTGACAAAAATTTAAAAAAAGAAAGTCTGTCATCTTTGCAAGCAACATATTTTGTTTTGAGTTTCAATAACAGTGGCTTTCCCAGTGTTTGTACAAAGTGAGCTCAAAAGGGATAAAGCACATTTAAGCCACCAGGGAGCACTGTGCACCAAGTGCTGCATCATGAAGAAAAAAAGAAAGGGCTGGTGAGCTATGAGTCCAAATGTTACGTGTATTTAGTTGGTTTTTTTTTTTTGTCATTTTTGCAATTTTAGATTAAAAAAAAGAAGAAGAGATGCTAAGTTCCTACAAGGACGTTCGCTCAGCTCTTTCAGCTGTAGTCTGAATTAATGTGAGATATTGAATTAAGTTGAGGTCAGACTTGGAGCCTGGCACAAACTGCACAGAGTCTGCCTTACACGTCAAATGCATTCACCAAATGTCTTTGCAAAACTCATAACATAAACGTGATCCCCGTGAGTATGTTTTTATTTTATTTTATTTATTTATCATTTATTTTGCCTAACCTTTTCTCCATGGAGCTGGAGGCCTGGTTCATCTCACTGTTGGAAATGAAGTTGCGAATTTCGGAGAAGTAAGAGTCCTCCTTCTCATCTAAAAGTGCATGATTGTCTGGCTCGGAGTTTGGAGAGGAGATGGTGGTTCCTAAGTTGGAAAGCATCCCGGACTGCTGGCTCACTGTTAGGGAAAAACATACAGAAACACAAATTCATTTTAAGATTACATTTTTGTAACATGGAAGAATGTRGCAAAGACAATTAACATTAAAAGAAGACACACATAAACCCTTAATAAATTCAATATGTAGACTTTAATATAATCAGCGGACTCACATTTTTTGCATGTTTTTCCAACATCTGCTTTGAATACYACAATTTTAATGAGGATTTTTTTATTTAGGGATAGAAATTGTTTGATGATTGTCATTCAAATTTCGTAAATTTTGCAAATTTACAGTCTCATCTGGAGKTTAAAAATAAACAGAAACTTCAGGCTAGGTTTGATTTAGCAATGTAAGTTCATAGGTCATGCAACGAGACCAGCTGTTCATGTGCTTTTATTTTTGAAAGCTAATTTTAGACTTKGTGATGAAGAAGCAAATTTTTAAATAAATAAATAAACCTAAAATAAAGAATTAGTCATACTGAGCTGTGAATAAACACTAACTGRATATTTTAATAGAACATTATATTTTCTTGGATTRATCAGGAACACTTGATGAATGTTTAAATTTAACTTGAACAAAGGATCAWCAGTGTCCCAAACATGAAACGTTTAATTATTCAGTCAGAAGAAATGCATGAACTGCCTATCATGACTACTCTTATGATAAATCTTGATGATAATTTAATCTTTGGTCAGTTTTATTTGTAAGTTATTTTTTTTATTATTATTTTTTGTTTGTTTCATGAGCACAACAGTCCATTTTGAAAACTACCAGCATTGTTTTCTTTTAGCAAGTTCTCATTCATGCCACAGTAATGCTGCGTGGATGACTCGAATGTCAACACTCAAACGGGCAACAATTTCTTTCAAAACATTTGCATTTCATCCATAATCAGTGCCATACAACCATGTCTGGCACAACAAGGCTGTTTTGTGCAGTAGCAGAGAGAAAAGAATTCTTTTAAAGTGGTTTTCCCACTTTTGGCCATTCCAACATTTCAACGTTTAACTAGGCAATGATTTAAAATTTTCTCATGGTTTACATAAGCCACTGATCATTCCAAACATGACGTAAACAGTTCCTGTTTGCTAACAACTCAGTTTTGTCGGAGAACACAGCCACAGATGTTGCAGACTGACCAGGAATGTTCTCGTGCTCGTGCTTTTTGAGATGGCGGTCGAGGTTGGTTTGCTGACCGAAGCAGCGGTTGCACAGATGACACTTGAAGGGTTTCTCCTTGTTATGGATATTGCGGACATGACGTTGAAGATTGGATGAGATGCTGAATGAGCGRTCACAGTATTTACACCTGCCAAAGCAGAACAGATCAGTGTTTAAGAGAGCAGTGGGAGTTTGCACCTGGGTTGATGAATCGGATGATAGTTTTGTAATATGTGCACGATGTAAGTTTGGGATTGTTTGCAATGCAAAAACAGAAAAGAAAATAATCTTAATTTTGTGAGAAAACCAAAAGCATAAAAATACAGATTTAGGATAAAAATGCTGCATAATACCTGTAGGGTTGTTCCCCTGTGTGTGTTCGCAAATGTCTGGTGAGGTTTGCTGAACGGGGGAATATTTTCCCACAGTACCTGAAGGAAAGAGTGGACATTAAATGAATCATGCTTTATCTTCACTGTGAAGGTGCACCAAATACTGCAAAATGTGGGACACTAACCTGCAAGCGTAACGTTCCTTGCCTTTTCGAAGGATTGCGTCTGAGAGAGAAGGAGGTGGTGAGCGGAAGTTGAACAGTGGATGGGTTGAGTGTTGCAGCGAATTGGGCGGCGCGTCCAGTTTTAGAGCACCGAAGCTCTCCAGCTTTTCTGTCATATTTTCCATGGCTGACATCTGACAAAAATGAAACAAATATAAAGTGGGTGAGTGTAGAAAACTTTCAGTTATTTTGCRCGTAGGTCCTTCTGTTTGAAACTCTATTTAGCTCATGTGACATTTTTATTAAAAACAAAATAAAACAGAAGTTCAAAATAAAATAAAATGTTTAAAGAAGGAGGTCTGGAAGCAGAAGCTTTAAGGAAGCACTATGAGTTTAGGTTTGTTGTTTCTACTAATCACCCGTCATCTCCTTGACCTGAATCACATTCACAAATACTCAAGTTCCATCCCTCCTGGACTCCCCCTTTGTATTCTCTCAACTTTAACAAGTACTTTGTTTTCTAACTTTTACCTTCTTCTTCCAAAGCTTAAGGGCAGCAAACTGGCTAAATGAGTCACTCAAAAGCCACAATTGAAGAAGTACAATATAGTTTGTGATACCCCCAACTGATAGCTGCTTCCGTTCCCCTAGAAGCATGTGAACAAAGGCCACCAGCTATGTAGGAGTTTATTTGCCAAAAACAGCTTACATCCTTCCTTTTTTAGTGAATATGGGATGGGAGAGACACAGGGACAGACACTCCGTCTCAATGTGTTTATTCGCAGTCTGAGAACGAGCACAGGGGGAGCGGGTTGATTCCGTCATGAGACTGAATTAGAGGTGGCATTGTATTTGGAACGCTGGGAGGATCACAGCTGGGACACTCCCATACGAGAAGTTTGTACATGGAAGCCTGTGAAAACATTTGATCTAGAGTAAAGTAATAAATCACACGTTGATGTCCTTAAATGGGACTTGAGGAAATGCCTGTTTTAGAACAAAGTTGTCACCATGCAGTGATAAATAATGCAATATTATCTTATAGATTTATGAGCGGAGAATGAATACAACCAAGAAAAGGCATGCACCACATTATTATTTACTTGCAATTTAAATCAAGAAGAATCCAYATGTATACATTTTATTATATAAAAATATGTGCTAATGTGTAAATATATCTGTCTGTAGATGTAAGAGACAAGTGTATTGCGAAGTCATGGTTGATGGAGGAGACAGATTTCCAGGTCAGATTAAACTGTTTCCCCAATAAGAGCCCCCTATTCTTCTGGATACAAACACAGGATGTCCTTGATGAACATGGTGCTATTATCTAGCCAGCCAGCCAACAACAGAAAAAAAAAGAAAATAGAGGGGGTTGACTTATTAGCTGGCCTGTGAGCTCCCAGTACCGAAAACAATGCCACACTAACGGTAATGTTGCCAAAAGAGGCAACCTCTCACAATTCAAACGATTATTATTCTCTCTGTTGCTAATTCTATCATTGCTTATAATCAAAATTTGCAGAGGTGGGAAAGGTCTGGGGACAGTCAAACAATGTTACTGATTATCAAAGGGCCTGTGATAACAGACTCTGTCTCCTGAAAAAGAAGGTAGAACTGACGAGGTACACAGGCGCCATTCAGTAAACAAAGGAAGAAATCATACAGAACCCTTGAGAAAAAAAAGCTCAGCAGACTGATGGAGCAGAGCGCCCTACCAAATCAGGTTGCACTAGCGTGGGAGGCAGGAGTTTGAGATTTTCACATAATACATTATTTGAAGATAATAGTCAATACCAAGTAGGAATAATCATCTGTTTATTTTACCTGAGAGACTTYCCCTCATATTTGTGTAAACTTGCTAGAGTTTATGTTCCAATTGTACAATTTTTAAAGTTCAAGTTCACCTGTGGATGGAAGAGTGAYAGTGAGGGCCTGGGGAATTTCTCCTTCAGAGCTCCAACTGGGTCAAATAGTTTCCTCTTCTCCACCCTGCTGGACCAACAACAAAGCAGAGGGTTACGTACCAAGGTCAGTTTGTTAAAAATCCCCAAGTCTGTATTGACATTAATCCATACTTTCAAAGTTTGAATGTAGGTAGGTAATGTGGAAAAAAATGTCCCTGGTCTAATTGGGGCTGAAATACCTGTAGATGGGGTCCATGAAGATTGCTGAGGGCTTGGCATAGTGCAGGAGTGGTGGCTGGTGTGGCTGTGATTGTGGCTGCTGGTGCTGGGGTATGGAGGATTGGTGCAACAATTGCGAATGGGGGTGTGGAAAACCACCTGAGGTTTCTTCCTTATTGGGGACGCTCTTTCCTGTTCCATAAATGTGGTTYTTTCGATTCTGCAGATCAGCTGGCACACCATTATGACCCCCACGGCTCCTGCTGCCAATGCTGAGGTCGAGCGGCTGTTCTTCACTGCTGGATATTGCTACAGGTCCACTATTGCTCCCAGTGCTGCCGGAAATTGAGGGGTTTGTTGGGGTTGGAGGAGTTACCTTGGCCTCTTTGGGTTTTGTGGTGAGATCAAATGGAGACTCTGCCGAAGGAGCAGGGGCTGCAGGGGAACTTGAAACCATCTTCTGTAGCTGTTCACGGGGAGACTTGGGTTCAGACTTTAGGAATACACTGGGATTGAGAGCGCTTCGATCCGTGCTAAAAGGATAGAGGGAGTTGTGGAAGTTGGGCAAAAACTGAAAGGGAAACATAGAATGGTAGGGCAGTGGGCCCATCTTTTTCTCTGGGTGAAGTCCAATCAAACCTGGACCAAAATATTTTTCAGCAATAGAAGCAATGGCTTTGATGGAATCAGTGGTGGCTGCATTGGCGTGTGTGGTGGTGGGTGGAAGGGCTTGCTCATCAGGGGGAGGAAAGAAGGAGTGCTGCGATGATGCAGAAGCAAGAAATGGACGATCTACAGAAAGAGCTCCTGAACTGGACACTGCTGATAATAACACACTGTTTGTGTCTTCTAACTGGTTTGCTTCTTGACTTGACACAATGCCAGATGGCTTCCTTCTTTTACCACGTTCGCTCTCTCCTTCACTCTCCARGTCCGAACCGTCACCTGAAGCAGTACCTGTGGTAGTGTCCAAATCTGTCCCACTTGTGGTATTAACGTCTTCAAGATCACTACCATCTGACAGGTCGGCCATCTTAGACTTAGGCTTTGCTTCTCTGCTAGAAGAYAAATCAAGTTTGATCTCCTTTTCCTTGTCTTCCTGTGGACTCAAACAACTGACTCCATTGCTATTTGTACAGCTAACAAGGGACAGTGGAGGGGCATCTAAGGGACTTCGAGGGAGCTTCACCTCCTGACCACTTCCACCCAGTGGACTCTTTAATAATGGACTAGCAGGTAATAAAGGTGGTCGTGGATAAAGTGATGGAGGAAAGATACCAGGGAACCCATGTGGGAGAGATGGGAAACCATGAGGTCCTGGGGAGAAGGGCAAGCCAGCATGAGGATGAGGTCTTGAAGGAAAGTAGTCAGTAAAGCCTAAACCAGACTGGTTCAGACCTGGAAGGTGGGGATGATGGGATTTGGCTTTAGTCATGATGGGACTAGAGCTCATAGCAATCCCAGGRTTGAACATCCCTGCTGGAGAGCCATAATGGTTTTTACCCTCACAAAAGCGACGATGCTTGTTGAGGGAAGAGGTAGTGCTGAACAACTGTCCACAGTCTTTACATTTGATCTGGGTACGACAGTCAGCATGCATGCGTTTGTGACGACAGAGGTTGGAGAACTGGGTGTAGGACTTGTGGCACACCTCACCTGGGGGAGCAAAAAGACACAGCCCATCAGGGCCTGGTTAAACCCATTTTAACACTGTCTCTAACACTGCAAACCAAATCAAAAGCAACAAAACACAGAGCATTGATACAATCCCTGGAAAATGAAAAACAGYAATTGTCTAATTATGACAGTTTATTTGTGCTGTTCCTTAAAGAACAAGAGCTCAATTAAAACCATTGCATTACCAGTTTATAACAGAATGGCTGTAACAAACTTAGTTATGTTTATAAAAAGTAATACATATAAAAATGTAAACACGTTGGAACACAGAAAAGCGGCCATTTTAGTTTAATGGTGAATACAATTACAATTCTTTGGCTGTTGCAATTCTAGTAATAATAAACTGGCCTTTACTTACAGATAAAGGGTTTTACACTGCTGTGGATGTGCTTATGCTGCTTGAGACCTGATGAGGTGGCAAAGGTCTTGCCACATTCAGGACATGTGTGAGCGCGTGCTCCCACATGCTGGGAGCGGATGTGGCGCTGAAGGTTGCTGGGGTCTGTGAACACCTAAAATGCAAAAAATAAAAAATAAAAAAATGGGTTATGATAATACAGTGTATGCCACTATCAACAAGGTTAAATATATTTAGTGAAAAAACAGTGTACTTTCAGAAGACCAAATCTATGCACAGTACCATAATAAATTAGACCTAAAGCCAAAGCAGATAAAGCTTGTGTGTCCTGTGCACAACTTACGTGCCGGGTTTGCTGTACCTTATCACAGTTTTCACACTCAAAACGTTTGCCACTGTCATGTGACATCTGGTGGCGGATGAGGTTGGACTTCCAGTTGAAGGCTTTGGGACATTGGTCACACTTGTATTCCCTCTCTTCTGTATGAACTATCATGTGTTGCCCCAAACTTCATGAAAACAAGATAAACAATTCATGTAATGTTGGATGAATAAACAATTTAATAGCAAAGTACAGCATTTTTTTTCTGAATACTACAGTTAAACTGTGTACCTGTACTCATTTGGAAAGATCTTCTCACAGTCTTTGCACTCGTGGACAGGCTCATCGCTGTCCTCACGTTCCTGTTTAAAATCATCTCTCAGTGCATCAAAGATGGACCCGGAACTGGAGCATGAATACTTCTGATGCCGCCGTAGCTCAAGGGTTGAGGAGAACAGCTCATCACAGTCTTCACAGCGGTACATTTGCTCGTCTGTATTCACAAACACACACATACACATGTAGATTTGTTTACCATCATACATAAACAGTTAAAAAGTATAATGTTGTACAAGGAACAAYGAGACAATGAAGAAAATTGTGATAAGCTTAAAGAAAAACAGCTGAAGCAGAAATGTGTTTTTCTACGGTCCAACAGGACCTTCAACATTTTAACCACAAAAGGAGACCTTTGGCAATGCTAATAAATTATATATTTGTAAATATTATATTTTGTCATAGTTAGGACAGAAATATTTTAATGGTACACAAAAAAGCAGTCCTAATATTGTTAAAAATAACTCTTAGGTATGTTCACAAAGACGTAAAGAAAAGTAGTTCCATAAATCTTAACAAAATGTTGTAATTACTTAACAAGAAATCTATTCTGTTTTTGTGTTTAGTTACATGTTTGTTTTACTAATGGTAAAAATCACAATCCTGCCATTGACATCCACATAAAATGGAAATCAATTAGCAGTGAAATGTGGGCTTCATTAACACAGTTAATTACGTGTTAAAGCAAGTGTTCACTTCGAACTGTAGTCAGAGGCATGCAGAGGAAACAATAGGGGCTGGTCTTCCCCTTCCACGCTGATAACCTTTACAATACTTCTCACAAGCAAGGTCAAACACATAAAAGTTGGACCAGCTTTTTCAATAGCAAATTCCTGAGTCGGATGCCAAGTTCAACAGATCAGGAAAAGCCCTGCGGAGTGTTTTTGTCCACATGTAAGGATGCGTGTGTGTGTGTGTGTGTGTGTGTGTGTGTGTGTGTGTGTGGCTTGCGTTTCTGAAAACATTTTCTGACGTGAGCCACAAGGAACAGAGAGGTAAGCAGGGCTGTGGCTGCACCAGCCCCATGGTGGTTTCAGAGCCGGCCTGTCATACCCTTTTTGCCCCGACCCGTGCAGCCACCCAACCCAACCCCCAGGCCTCCCCAACATGCCACACACACCCATCCATCAATTCAAGCTGCACTAAATGAGTTTATCCAAAATGGCTTACAGTGCACGGCTCACCTGTTTTCTACAGCATGTGACTGTTTATCCAGCTGGAACTTCTTGGAAACTTTAAAAGGACATTAGAGCTGMAATATCAGTGTGTCTAACCTTCAGGAGAGGGATAAATGACCCCCTGGTCAACAGACCATTACACCAAGCTCAAATGCAAAACTAACTGGCCTGCTTTGACACCGATGTGTATATATCTTAGAGAATGGTTAGTTTGGAGTTGATCATAATAGATACAACAATAAAAGATGTGAAAAAAGCTAAAAGTATGAAGCGGAAAAACATTTTTTTTTTATCAGAAATGTACATAAACTAACCAACTCGTTGAAGAAGCATGTCTAGGATTTAAAATAAAGGTCTGAGAGTGGTTAGGCGAAGATGCACATAAACAAACAGAACTCRCTTGTGCCTATCAGCGTACATGTGTTTTTTCAGTTAGTCTGGTCTGTGCGAGTCGGGTGGGTTGGGAGGAGGTTATAAAGTGGAGACTAATAGCTCTCCGGGAGACGAAGGGAGGCACAATTATGTGCAGTTTAGCAGCTAATCTGGGAGCATGGGTGAGGTCTCAGGGGACTCCTCAAGTCCTCTACTTCAAATTCCTTCTTCGATAAGCCAGGCGCAGAGAGCACGGCTGCACTGCCAAGCTCTGTCTCAGTCACACAAATGAATGGAGACAAGAACACAAAACATCCTGGTTGGTGGACTTTGCGCCCTCCTTCTATTTTTCCAGTCTCTCCGGGTCACAACAAAATATCCTCAAACAATAAAGCACCTGTAATAAATTTCTCCTGTCTGCCTTAATCCTTTTCTCATTCGAAGACACAATAGTTTGGTCTGATTCAAACACTTTGGCAGGTGGAATTTTCTCTGCCTCGCTCACATTGTATTTCATACAGCAACACAATCACACATGAACAAATCACATTTTTTTATGCATGCTCCTTTTAAAATACCTCTAAAACATGCCATTCAGCTGCTTTAAAATAACAGCTTGTTTAGAGCGTCTTCTTTATGCTCTTTTTCTTCTGTGTAATCTGTGCRTGACACAGATAACTGATGAACTGCAGAACATTTCACAAACCTCATGTTCCGCTTTTGTATGATCGATGACCAGTAAAGGTAGTAGATTTTTTTTTCAAATCCTTGGTTTCAGAAAGACAACAAAACAGTGTTATTTAAAAAAAGCACTTCCCTACTACGAGTTCAAGATGTTTAAAGAAGTGATGCAGAACGGGCTGCTTTTCCGCTCAAGTAAAGTCTGAAAGAACGACCTACAGTGAACCATTGTCCAATATAGATTTTGGGATAAAATATTGGACATTATTTAGTTTGACACACAGTGAAGGGGATACAGTTGAAAGGAAGTGAGTTCAGTGAATCACTCAAGAGGAATTACACGCAGGAGAAAAACTGATGAAGACGTCTAAAAATTGGACTTAATTCTATAAGTGTGCCAGTTTGCAGAAACAATGCAGGTAAAAGAGATCGAAGACAACAACTCAAATCATGACAAGAAAGCAGACAGAAGAAATTCTCAAACTCACGAGTTTTAATAAAGTTTAATTAGAAATAAGGCAGAGAGGCTTTTGTTTATTTTTTAATTAAATAAAAAAGCAAGCAAACAATTTAAAAGACGAATAGTCTTTGGATGTAGTATTTTACTTCTTTTTTTTTTCTTTTTTACCCAGAACACGTGACAAGAACTTCGGTTACTAAAACGTGCTGCAGACC